TAGCATCCGGAATTTTAACACCAATGTCATGTCAGTGCTGCTATATGGTTGAGAAACTTAGCGCGTAACGAAAAGCATTCCCAATAAACTCCACACATTAATCAACAGCTGTCACCTACGCTCACTCGATACTGAAGATGATCAGATGGCCAGAATAATAGAAATAAGTAACGAGAAACTCTGGCTGACTGGTAACGAACCAACCAACCAACCAAGAACCTATCCCCCAACAAATATGCAGAAGAAAGTGGAGATGGATTATACATAAACTGAGAAGGCCGACTGGGGACATCACGCTCCAGACCATCGAGTGGAATCGAAAGGGGAAACGACGAGTTGGGCGTTTTAGCTGAGGGTGACATAGAGGAGATCATGTGAGGAAGAAAGTGAAGCTTCTGGGGAGTCGTGGAGCGAGGTTGAAAATGCTGCGGAGAAGAGAGTGCAATGCAAGCGTGCTATTAAAGCCCCATGACTAACTGATGTGAAGATGTCCTTTGTACTTTCGTCCTTCAGTTCACTTTCTCTTCTGGGTCTTCAACTTCAACTGTGGCCCTCTATCACCAACCTCTGTGAAGGCTTTCAACTGGATTTTCACGGTAGGTTCCTTCCACTAGATACTGGTGTGAGTGGTGTGAACCTACATCTGCTCCCCTTCTTCATCTCATCTTGTGTCCAGTAGGCTGACTGCGTCTACACTTTCTTCACATTGACATGAAGTCGATCTGATTTCTAGTGTGTGCTGGTGTCTGGTGAAATCAAATCCATGCCGCCCGCTGCCTTGTGAATATCCTTAAAAGTGTTTGTACATACTGCCTGCAATCACCAAATCGTTGAATGCACAGAAGTCTGTAAACAGTTCTCCATTCTCCTTCATCATTTATTTCACCGAGTGCTTGTCGACCCGTGATGAGTTCTCTTCCTGTGTTGTCCACTCCCAGTTTGGCATTCACGTCAACCAAACCATTATAATTTTGGTGTCACCATCTGGGGTTGTGTCTTGTCCAGTACTGATTGTAGTTGTGTGTAGAATTCCTTCCTCCTTCTTCTCTTCATCTGCCCAATTATTTGTAGGTGCACAGTGTAGCATTGTATCATTGTGACTTTCCTTCCCCTCGAGTTGAATCCATCTTACTGTCATGATCCTGATCTTGCATGAGGAGATTGGTTGCCACTGCACGAGAGAGAGAGGGGGAGAGAGAGCCTTTGATGCTGTTGGGGACATCATGATAGCCACTCGAGAACTCAGTGTGCTCATGGTTGTCGTCTGGGTGACGATATGGGAATAGATAATTGAATCTTCTCTCCAGTTGACAGTTTTGAAGAGTCGACTTCCATTCCACCTGCTTTCGCAGATTCCTAGCACTTCTATGCCATATTTCCTCATCTCTCTTGCAATCTGGGCAGCCTTGACAGCTAGCCAGCTTCAAACGTTGTGCATACATTCCATGTCCTCATCCTTACTTTAACTTTCATCGAGAGAATTTGTGACACATCTGCCAATTGACTTTGTGAAGGTTTTCACCAATTGGCGTCATTTCGTCTCCCCGATTCCAGGTATGAATAATTTTGTTTTAATTTTTAATATTTTCTTTGTGTTTTGAGGTTTGTTTAGTGATTAGATTGGTGTTTCGGAGTAGGGTTGCTAGTTTTGTGTTCAACCTTCCCTGTTTATCGGGGTTTAGGACCGGCTAGTAACTATGGAACTAGTTAGCCAGATGAGGTAAAATTGCGAATATCATGTCAATAAAATCGTGATGGAAGGAACTTTGGTAGTCACGTTATCACTGTATGTTCGATGGATGAGTGGTTCCTGAATACAGTAGTGAGAAAATATAGTGCGTAATCTACAGCTGAACTTTTGCAGTACATACATTGCAAAAAAGTCATCGAAGTCTCATCTCACCACTTTGGTGAGGATACGCAATTTGCTCCATTTATGCATATACAGGACCAATTACCTTGACACAGCTCACCGAACGTTGCTGACCCATGAGTGTCAGACAAAGTAAACAACAGAAGACGCAGGTGAAGATAATAGAGAATATATCCACAAAATAATTCTCATTCAGAAGTCGAAACCAGTCAGGCAAGTGTTATTTAAATATGGTACAAACAAATAAACGAATATACATTTACAATGTTAATATCGAAGATTAGAGAACACCATCACCGTCTTCCTGAGCTACAAGTCTTTTCCTTCATATCACAATGTTTGCGTCAAATGAACGCAAGCGGTATACATTACCAATTCCCACTTGTTACTAAGATACCTACAATATTGCATAAAATAAGGATTTCATAGTGACGTTAAAATGCATAACTTCCTTCTCTATTGCATACATTCGTTAAGAATATACTTCATAACCGTCTGCTGATGATTAATTAGGCTTCCACGTATTCAATTCTTATGTGTTCCTCGCCATTTAAATTCTCGATTGCTCGAATGGGACGCATAAACGGTTCAATCATACGGACATGCAACAAGTTTCGTTTAAATGTATCCTGATCAACAATGGAAGGGATGGTTTGAAAAACTCGGGCATCGAGTCAGTATGATTCATCGTTCAAGGTGTATTTTTACTTGTGTATATCAGAACAAATAACAAAATAAACATATATTTTGTATTATTCCTCCGTCTTATTTCTTCCGATGCAGATGTTCGATAAAGAAGTACTATGATACCTATTCAATCTTAATGACTTCATTTTCCCGTCTTTTTTTGATAAACCTTTTTAAAATCCTTTTAGTAGCTTTTCCGAATAGCTGTTTTGTTTTAAGACTTCCAGAACAAGTTGTCTGTCTGCTTGGTGAGATCCCACTTTATTCGGTATGTTTTGTGATCTCTTCTACGAATTTTTGGCAACGTTTAACTTAGTTTTCAATGAGTGAGCTGAATCAAAATCAAGATACTTGTTAGAATGTGTATCTTCTCGATAGACATCCATGTCAAGTGTCCCGTCATTGTTTCGCATGCCCATACAGTCTAGGAAAGATAACTTTCTTATGGAATTGAAAAGGAGGAATAATATACAATACTTGTTTATTTTGTTGTTTGTTCCAATATACTACACCGGGTTTATACAAGTAAAAATATACCTTAAACGATGAAGTTTCGTTTAAATCAATAAATTTTTCCATCTTTATTCCTTCTACACTTATTGTTAGTCGGCGTGTAGCTTAAGGAAAGACGATGGCATACAACGAATGCATTATCTCCCCCAGAATTGGTTGTTCTAACCTTATTGAACTTATTCGCCTTTTGTAACACCTTTCCACCCCCACTCTTCAGCTCATTAAATGAACAAATATTTATATGGTGAAAAATTCCATAAGAAAAGTTATATTTTAACAATTCATTCGGAGTTCAAACTTCAGTTTCTTTGGCGTTACAGATGCGCTCTGCTGACAAGTGCCAAAAAAGCATGGAACCTAACCTAGGTCGAGCTGGATTTTCTGACGATTGCCTATCTGTCTCCATGCATCAAGATGGTGAGTCTTCCAGCCTGGTGGTCACATGACAAAGTAATCACTAAAATCCGATCAGAACTTAGGATTACACAACACAATGTTGGTTTACCCTCCAATGACTGATCAGTGTACAATTCGGTTCTTTGTGAAGATAAAATAATCTGTGTCTTATCTTATATTATATCAAATGAATATACTATCTTTTATTAGTGTTAATCAAACATTCATCTATTAACTCAACTAACCGCTATCAATAAACTCAAAGAATTCTGATTTTAGTAACAAAGAGCTACTAAGAACTGTTACTTGTAATCTTAAGATAATGTTTATATAACTAGTGAATGATTCTTATACAAAAAGGAATTCGTTGGTGTAATTCATCTGCATTTCAGACACTTTCTTATCTACACATTACATCATCTTTTAAACGATAATGACAACAAAAATATTGATTCATCTTTTATCAAATATTCATTAAATAGGTAAATATTTCATCACTGATATGTGACTCACCTCAAAAAAGTTAGTTATTTAATGATAATATCTTTGCTAGCATGCATGGCAGACAGTTTTAGGACACTGTAATTTTATGAAACATTTAGGTATGTTCAGAATGAGTTAGTCTCTGTGTTAGCAAACGTTTCGATATCATGGTAGAAATCGTCATCAATACATCAGAGCTTCTTTGTGAAGCTTCTTTAAGCATATATACCCTAAGCTAGAAATATTCGCCATAACATGATTTATGGTGGGTAAAAAAAAGAGTTGTATTGAAGTGCACTGATAATGCTATTTACGAAATGAATTGAGACGGTAGCTTAGTATACAGAATAATAGTGTGAAGCGGATGCCAACTGATGAGATTGGATGATGATCGCACTATACCACAAAATGATAGAAGTATGCAACTACGGAACATTTGTACTTCAACATTTTTATTGAATAATTAATGCACAATCCGCGAAACCTAGAGGTCCCGAGTTAAATCCCTGCAGGAATTTTGGTGTGTAATGCTGGTGAGTCTCATAATGGAACGAAGCACTTATCCAATGGTTTAAAGTTTTCAACGGATATGCAATTGATTTTAGTCCGTGAGGAATACTTCTTTAGAATAAATCAAACCCTAAAAGGTTTTCAATTGAAAGATCGAGACACTACCGTAAAAACTGAAAGATATCAAACGTACAGATACAGGTTTAATTAATAGATTACTACAAATTACCACTGCTAAAACAAGAAAGATAGATATCAGTGACTAAAAGCTAATAGAAAAGTTACTATTCGACGACATAAAGGTGGTTACAAAGTTCAATAGTTACTAGCCGGTCCTAAACCCCGATAAACAGGGAAGGTTGAACACAAAACTAGCAACCCTACTCCGAAACACCAATCTAATCACTAAACAAACCTCAAAACACAAAGAAAATACTAAAAATTAAAACAAAATTATTCATACCTGGAATCGGGGAGACGAAATGACGCGAATTGGTGAAAGCCTTCACAAAGTCAATTGGCAGATGTGTCACAAATTCTCTTGATGAAAGTTAAAGTAAGGATGAGGACATGGAATGTATGCACAACGTTTGAAGCTGGCTAGCTGTCAAGGCTGCCCAGATTGCAAGAGAGATGAGGAAATATGGCATAGAAGTGCTAGGAATCTGCGAAAGCAGGTGGAATGGAAGTCGACTCTTCAAAACTGTCAACTGGAGAGAAGATTCAATTATCTATTCCCATATCGTCACCCAGACGACAACCATGAGCACACTGAGTTCTCGAGTGGCTATCATGATGTCCCCAACAGCATCGAAGGATCTCATACAGTGGGAATCAGTCTCCTCATGCAAGATCAGGATCATGACAGCAAGATGGATTCAACTCGAGGGGAAGGAAAGTCACAATGATACAATGCTACACTGTGCACCTACAAATAATTGAGCAGATGAAGAGAAGAAGGAGGAAGGAATTCTACACACAACTACAATCAGACACAGATGGGGATGTCAAAGCCAGGATCGGAAAGACAGCAAGATAGGCCTTCCTGCATTAATCTGAAAGCAGTAGGGAGATCTACTGCAGTCAGCGCAAAGAATAGCATCCGGAATTTTAACACCAATGTCATGTCAGTGCTGCTATATGGTTGAGAAACTTAGCGCGTAACGAAAAGCATTCCCAATAAACTCCACACATTAATCAACAGCTGTCACCTACGCTCACTCGATACTGAAGATGATCAGATGGCCAGAATAATAGAAATAAGTAACGAGGAACTCTGGCTGACTGGTAACGAACCAACCAACCAACCAAGAACCTATCCCCCAACAAATATGCAGAAGAAAGTGGAGATGGATTATACATAAACTGAGAAGGCCGACTGGGGACATCACGCTCCAGACCATCGAGTGGAATCGAAAGGGGAAACGACGAGTTGGGCGTTTTAGCTGAGGGTGACATAGAGGAGATCATGTGAGGAAGAAAGTGAAGCTTCTGGGGAGTCGTGGAGCGAGGTTGAAAATACTGCAGAGGAGAGAGTGCAATGGAGGCATGCCACTGAAGCTCTATATTCCATTAGGAACCCAAGAGACAAGTAGTAGTAATAATAAGTCCTTTGACCTAGCTGTATTACAATTCAGCAATTTAGTACAAACCGGTGCATCACGTACTAAGCTACGTCTGTTGTATAAGAGCTGATAATAACATATTATTTATAAAACCTCAGTAAGTGGAGCAGGGGTCAGTTGTGTAACCCACTGATTGAAAAGTATCTCGATTAATAAGCCATGTCTCCAGAAGTAAGTAGTTTTTAACTTGAATAAATGCTGCTGGAGATTTATAAACTTATTTCAAAGGAATCACTGTTTTTATTAGTGTTATACCAATTTCTAAATGTTTGAAATCCTACAAAAAGCCTGGAAATTTTATTCCGATGAAGTTTAATGTAGGGCTCGCCGGATCCAGAGTAAATATTTGGTACATCAAAGATTATATTCAGAAGAATCACTATCTAAATATTTATTGGAAGTTCCTAAGAAGAAATAGAATCTTCAACAGTGTGAGATCTTTAAAAAGATATCCACTTTGTCACGTTGAATCTTTTCAGTTACATGTAACTGAATTGGGAACAAACATATTGCAAAGCATAGCCTTGGGAACCTCCATCGTTTACTGGACAGAATTGATCGGCCACACTCTGCACATGGATTCCTTTGCGGATTCCTCTATATTGCCGGTATTTTCAAATTCGATATCATTGATGGACAGTGGCTAGCAGTGGAATCAAAGACGTACGTCCCATTATGATTTAACCAATTATATCTGAAATCATCTAGAGATACGTAGCATATTTTAACAATTGCATACTCCACATGCAGGCATGAATACTAATGTAACTGACAGTTTAATGAAGTAAGTTACATCTTCAATGCTCTGATTTACGAAACGTTATCAGATTTAACTTTCTGAAATTACGAATTCTAATCAAAACTGTATTTGTGATGATTAAATAACATTTAAAGACATCCTTTTTCTCTATATAAACACTAGTATTTTTATCATTGCCTTGTTTGTGGCTGGTGAAACCCAGGACACGGATTTTGTTCGATTTGGAACTTGTCAGCTGGATGCACTTCTACCCCAGTAAGTGATGTTATTCCCACAAAGACGACCTTACTCACTGGGGTGAAGGTATATGTAGCTGACGAGTCCCAAACAGGACAAAATGCGTGTCCTGGACTCCACCACCAGCCACAAGCATGTCAGTTATAACAATAATAAGGCAATATCGAAGCATCCGCATAGGAGCTTATAAGCCTTCAGAGGTCGGTCAATTCAATTCAGCATAACAACGGAGGATTACAAGTATCAACAAATAATAATCATTATGATTATCCTATAATTCTTCAGTTTGCCTTCTGAAAAAAACAAAGTGAAGTATTTGAAAATAATTAATCATATCTGAATCCTTTGCTTTTTATTTATCCTGATAACAGTGAATTGATTAAATACCAAATTTTGTTCACTGTAAATAAACCGTCGCTGGGGTGACTTTCTTCAGATGAAATTCTAAGGTACTGTGTAGATTGCTGTCCCCATAGTCACTTTATTATAACAAGTAGTAGAGTAGTTACTGATTCAATTTTCATCAAGTTAAACCTATTTTATCTACTGAATTTCTTGATAAACGGTAGAGGATAGCTATTAATTATAAACGCTTCTTTTATATGCTTTAATTCCTTGATTCGATTGGTGAGTTTTTCAGCTCTATCATTTATACATTCGAATAAACCTGCTTCAACTGACACTGGATGAGATGACCTGAAGTCTATACACAGCTATGTAGATTTAAATTCAGTAGAGATGTTGTGGTAAATAAGTCTCCGAAATCAGAAAATTACTTTCGAATGAATACTCAGCTTGTCAATGCAACTGAAGCTTCAGTGGGTTAGCCTATCTGAAAGCATATGGTCAATCAATCAATCACTTGCAGGTTTGTTGTCACATTACACTAGGCGAAAGCGCTTGGTAGTAATAATAATAATAATAATGGCCTTATTCTGAAAGGTATTTCGGGAATACTCTGCAGAATGTTTAGCATGTCATATAGTATCAATTAGACAGAAACAGTGTACATGTATACACAGAAAAATGAAATAAGTAGAAATTACATTTACAAGATAGGAATATTCACTCTAAGTTTCTTGAAAATGCATAGTTAACTTAGGTAGATAAGATCACATTAGCAATCAGATTCATAGTACATAAACAGTAGCATGCTGTGTACTCATAAATTAGTTTGCTTTCAAAAACAGTTGATCAGTCAGTTCATCTATAATACTTTCTTCATCGGATAGGATACGAGATTAATACGATAATGTAGAGTTTTATATTTAGTAGTGCATGCATAAAGTCTAATGTAGTTGCTTCCTTCCTGATGACCCACACTCAGAGGATGCAGATGAAATAACTCCCGCCAGACGTTTACGAGTTAAAATGTTTGTCTGCAACTGTTTTAACTAGAAAGTTTAGAGGGATATTACTAGTTCGGTCGTAGTAAGGGCTTGGCGAAATATCGCAGAACTACAGAGGTATCTTGAAATAGGGGATACTAAAGATATAGTTGATTGAATAGGATCAAAGGACAAAATACACGTAGGAAGACATAATCACCTGAACTTCAGTCGAATTTAATAGAACTGCACTCAGTAACCACCTGCACTATTTTTCAGTAGACAGGTAGTCGCATCTAATGTGTGGGCTAGTCATACATTCTGGAACCCCAAACCTCGGTTGGTGGGGTGGGGTTTGGACTCCTGACCCACCGCCTAGCAGTCCATTGCCCAGACCAATGAGCCACAGATCCACTGAACCTCAGTACTAAGGCACTTCTCTCAGTTGTCATTAAAAGAGAGTAGAATTAATATTTCTGTAAGTGTTGAGCTTCGGTTCCCCTAAGCTTATAATGCCCTCCACAGGGTTCTTTTTTAATGTATTTTCATACCTAAATTAACATTTTGCAGCGGCATTCCGATTGCTTCTTATCAATATAGTATGTATTTGATGATAACGTCCAGAATGGTATCGTCTTCCGCCATTATTCATATCTCCAGGACGGAACAGACCGACAGACAAGATCAACGTAGAATCTCACACAGAAGTGCATCGGCTCAAGTTGCCACACTTCACAGCAGAATGAAAAGAGCAAGTAGTTGGGAAAAGACTAATACCAAGGTAAACACAGGTATATAGGGGGAGAAATTGAAAAGTGAAGGTCGGTGAAAACACTTAAGCTTTGGAAGACGTTAGGGTGAAAGCATATATGTCATTGTGACCGATTTTCAACCATGTCATCAAAATTCTACATACATGGATCCTATCATCTTGGGGACCTCAACCAAGCAGTGTACACTCCCCACATGGCTCAGACCAACAGCCAGGGACTTCATGAACTGGTGACACATCACAGTCTGGCAACTCTGAGCCTACTTCCAACCTCTACCAGCATTGCACGTCGAGGTAGCCGGTGATTTAGTGTACACAACACATGTTCAACCCACTTCAGTCTTTGAACGTGCGTCAGTAATGCTACGAAGACACCTGTGGGGAAAAAAGTAGTCTACTTTATTTTAGTATTTGTATTTCCCAGTGAATGTCAAACAAAATAAATTTGTTTCAACTTCTTTTCAAACCATCAAATCCCAAATTGGTTTGGATATCTAAAAACTATAGTCTCTTCATATATTTTGCTACTAACGACCAGGTCTCAGCCGCGTAACAGAACGAACTCCAGCGAACAATACTCATCCTTTACTAGGCGATTGGATATCATGACAGTCGGCACCAGAGATGATATGATTTGACGAATGTCAACAGGACTATTGTATCTAAGTTGAGATTTCATCAGCACCTGACCTGAGAGAAGTGGCCAACACATTCTACCACTTCACTCCCTACCCTTAATTGAGAGCATTCAAAGATCAGTCCTAAAGCACTACCTCACATTTGACAGGTACGAAAAGCATGCCAAACATACTCAGGATTCTGCTCAACCCGTTCACAAGACCCTTTTTCATTTCATTTCATTATCAACATAGGACCAGGCATTACTGCGTAACGGTCCGAGTTGCCACATCTCACGTCAGTTCATCTAGTAGAAAGGTAGTGAGGTGAAGGATGAAGATAAGTGAATGCAGTCAAAAGAAATATAAAGTATGAAAAGGGAGAAAGGAAGAATGAGAAAATGGTGAGATTCGGTATAGCGTTAAGATGAGGATAATGTATGTATACATCTGCCCCATTGATATCGGTTCTGAGTCATATCACCCAGAGTCTCCAACAACTAGTTTCTATTGTACCCCAGACCCCAACCGATTAGTCTGCATCGCCCAATATGGCTCAAATTAACAGTAAGAGACTTCACACATTGATGCCATGTTTTAGTCTGGCTACCTCGAAACTTTTTCCAGCCTGAACC